TTGCTCTGTAGGTTTTTGCAACTTATTTGCTGTTAGCTGCAGTTTTGAAATCCACCATTTGGAGTTGAAGCATGTTTAATTTAGCTAGTAAACGAGAATTTAGTTTAATGTAGAAGAAAAACTGCTGAACAGGAGGAGGATTTGGTGTTTTCTTTTAAAATGATACATGGATAATGGAGTTGAGGATGGGGAAAAAATTAGTGATAATATGCTCCAGTTATGATGGGTTTTTGTGTAACTAAGGAATTTGGTAATCATATAATAAATAAAATTAAAGCTGTTAAGCCATAATTTTTGCAATGGAATTTATGACAACTTATCAAGGGAATTAATGATATGATTCTACACAGGTTAAAACCTTGGGGGTTGGGAGGCCTTGAGCAGCATCTGGAATTGAATGATGTTAACAAGGAATGATCATGTTTGGGACCAAAGTAATTATCCACATTACTTTCTTTTTTCTTTTCTTTTTTTTTTTTTTCTATTTTTGGTGATTCTTTGGGCAACTAGTTCATTGTCAAAGAGAATAAGTTCTGTAAATTGCACATGGTTTTTCAGATGTTGGCTTTTATATTTTATCATCAGCTTAAATGGCATTGACTTTTAAAATTTTTGTGGAAAAAGCTATTATCTCATATTTTTTGAAAATATAGAAGAAAAGAACGTATAGCCTTATTAATAGAGTTGAAGGAAAAATTGCCTGTTATAATTGCAACTCAACTCAAACTTAAGCTTTTAACGAAACTAGTGGTTTGGCTATATGGAATCTGTTCCTCGATTCCACCCTAGCGTATAAAAAGCTTGCCTGTTTATCACAGTATATTGTTATGTTATGTTTGAAAGTTTGTGTTTGGAGAATTGTTCCATTTCCCTGCATTTATGGGAAGAGGAAATTTATTAAAGACGTGCAACTTTTTGCTGTTTATGTTCTGAAAGCATTGTCTGTTCATTGTGCATGCGTTTATATTTTCTTTTGATGATGAAAAAGAAAATTGATTTTAATTTCTAGTATTTCTTCTTAAATTGATACAAGGAAGGAGCCAATACATAAGATAGAAGTAATATCCTCCCAATTGTGATGGATCTCATCATGATGTGTTATTAAATACATAAGGCCATTGTCTTAAAGAAAAAAAAAAATATATTGGGGGCACTCTTTGGTTTGTTTCTGATTGTGCATGTGCCTAGGAAGTTATTTATGCTATAGTTGGACAGCGATGGTTTCAATTGGGAACTCTTACTAGATTTGGATTCAGATAAATTCGTTCATATCACGATAGTGGTCATTATGCTGCTGTGAGCCATAAATATACCTGTTTTAAAGGTCAGGGCTTTTCAAAAAGTGTTCATTTAGCCCTGCTTGTGAATTCTGCTGGAAATTGGTTTTCTGATTCCCCTTTGCTAATAAGCTTTCAGAATTTGGTTCCATTCATTCATTCCATATTATTATTTTAATTTATCTTGAACTGGATATTATCTCAAATCAAAATTTTATCTGCAAACAAGAGAAGTGTATCATTTGAGGAGTGTTTGAAAAGTTGATGTACCATGAGATTAGGACTTTTCCTTATTAGATAGATTTCAAAAATATGTTAGTTCAGACTGTTACAACGATTTTTCTATTCAACTAAAGAGTTTCTTGCAGATGCCTTTTTTCTCACTTTAGCGCTTTAAGCGTGCTGTTGGAGAGGATTGGAAAAGGTTTGTTTGGACAATTTACCAAATTTGTTTCCGCGTTGGAATCTATTCCCATATTTGCAATTGTAGCTCGATTAATTCTAAGGCAATCGGTTGTGCAGCATATAAATAGTGCATAGGAGTATAGAAACGTTATGTCTTGAACGTAAAAAAACAAAAATTCTGGCTTTTTCGAATAAGAATATGTCAGAACTTTTTTTTGCATAGATTATTTGCTGATTCAAATATGACCAATTTTTTCCCTTTATTATATAATATATATATTATTCACATCGTCTAATGTAATTTCTTTTTCACATATTTCTAGAGACTGGCCTTTTTGTTCTTGGGCGTTAAGGAAAGCAGTGCTACTGAGGAAGATTGAGGCTACGCGTTGCAATAAGTTTGTGTTTAAAATGCTTCAGAGTCTATGTGGAAGCGCTAACAATACTATGCAGTGTTGAAGTATGCATTTTAAAAAATTACCTTATAATGAACCATGGGTTCAGAGAATACAGAGAGTTCTTCAGAGGCTGGCCTGATCCATGAATTAAGGGTGCAGTAATTGCAATAGGACTTTGTCCAAACTAATAGAGATAAAGCTGCTTGTATGGCTGTCATATGTAGCGTTTAGCATTTAATGGCAGAAATACAATGTCTTTTCATGAGTTATTCAGATATACTTTGTTTTTGATTTTTGAATTACATAAGGAGCTCTTTTTAAGGATTTAAGAATGCCATGTCGAAAGAGTGATGAAGTTTACTGGACCTTGTCATTTTTTCATTTCAGGCTTCCGCCTAAAGCTTTTTTACATGTGCCCAATTGTGGGTTCTACATTTACGAGTATTGCTGCTCTCCTTAACTTGGGAAACTAGAAGGGAAGGACTTTGCCTGTAATGATGGTCTCATTCATGTCTTATGTACAGTTATGCTGATTGGGATGCTCTACATAGCAGGGTAATACCAAACCATACTACTTTGGATTTTGAGAGTTGGAGATTGGAACATAAAATGATTTCTTTAAGCTTCATTATTTTTTTTCAAAAAATTTTTCGATAGCACAAATCCATGTGCTTTTGAAGCTGTTTGCATGCATCTTTTTCTGTGATATTACTGTTACCTATGAACATTTAACAAATAGAATGATAATGATAAAAGTTTATGCATGCATTTTGAAATTATTTTAAGTTTCAGGTCGGTTTAAGGACTTTACGGAGAATTTAGCAGTTTAAAGATGATTGACTGCCTATGCATTTTGGGAGTTGAGATGCCACATTTTTTTTTTTTTAAGTTAAAATAAAACTAAAACAAGTAAATGGTGCCCTAGGGGTGGCAAACCCTAGTACTAGAAATTAAAAAAAGTTATTTGCAAGAAAATCAAGAACATTCAAAATTCGATCTCAAAACCTAATCAAGTCAACTCTTAAACTAAGTTTAGCTATTCATATTGGCTGTCAACTTTGTGGATCCATTTTTTTCTGGATTTGTTATGGTTAGGCTGCATCTTTAAAAAAAGGTTTAGCGGCTTGCTAAAATTTTTTCTATTACGACATGTGAATCCTAGGTCCTTACAACCTCATCTACCTCCTTTAGTTGTGGCCTTTATATCTTGTAACCTTTCATAACGGTACATTTATTAGTTTTCAGTGGACTTGCTATTGCTTCAAACCAGTCTAAAATTGCTCTCTTGACTTTGACCTTCCTACAAAGTGCACTCAAGACTCACCTCTGTCTGCCGTCCCTTGTATTCAGAAAAAAATCCATTTTAAGTATCCCACAACTTTGAGGATGTGCTGTTTCTGAGTTGTATCATTACCTATTCAAGTTCTATTCCTGTATAACTTTCCTCAGAAATTTATTTGGTTTGGATTTTATGATTTCAGAATACCTCTATTGAACTTCTCCGGTTTCCATCTATTCCTGCTTTGATACTATTGGTCAACAAATTCTTTTATCTCACCATCCTTTTAGATACGAAGCATCTTTCTAGAAATGTCCTACACCCTTGCTTATACAGCTTTGACTTGATGGCAACCACCTTGCTTGTTAGAAAAAGCTTCAATTGTATTAGACAAAGTAAGCTGCCAAACTACGTTATAAAATATCAGGGGGTGTATGCCAAGTACTTGTAAGAACACTGTTATTTCATTTCGCCTTTGAGAACCTTTTTCGTAATGATACCCAAAAAGTTAGAGAAAACTTTTTACCTATTATGTACAGGGGACAAGTGTGGTAAACTGGCCTTACAGTGTGGTTGGTAGATGAAACTAGGAGAAAGGTTTTTGATTACTTTTGCTTTTTTCGACTTAATTCATAGTTTATTTTACCAACTTTCATTGGTTTTTTTTTTTTTTATTTTATTTTATTTATATTTTGTTTTTTTATAATTCCATGCTGAATAAGGTTTTTGAAAGTGGTGATAAAGGCACTCTTGACACTTGGGCCCACCACAAGCAGTGGAGGCATGGGTTTAATTCAAGCTTTGTAGAAAAATCTCTGAATATTTTGGAAATAAGCCGATTCCAACCTCTAGATACATTATGCCATTAGCTGATTCTCATACCAAAGTTCCATCTTTAACATGGTATTTCTTGTCTTTGAGTTAAATAAAAATTAGTCATTTCTGTTCTTTCGTTTTTTTTTTGTAATATTCATTTACAGATCATTCTGTCCTTGAGTTTGCACAGTTTTTTGCTGCTTGACATGAAGAACTTGGAAACAGGCTTTAAGAAAAAACGAATTTTCTTCTCCTCTGCCTAGGATGAACTATATCATGTTTTCTAAGAAGAGCATCCTATTAATATTCTGCCTAACTGTATGAATCTTGATTGATAACCAAATGGAGAGATCTGAAAGTTGTGTTTAGGTTCAGATACCAAATCATGTAAGGCTCTTTTGGTTGGAGAACAACAAGGCTTTTGGAAAGTTTATATGTTTTACCTTTGGCGTCTAGGAGGCAAGCAAAATTAATTGGAATATTTAATTTGGGCATATCAATTTGAGAAAATATCTTATTAAATGTTCCATAATTGTTTAGATTTTTGTGCGGATAGGCTCGATTATCCTTGCCCCTTCATTGATGCCAAGTGAGTGATTCTTAGAAGCTGCAAAAGTTTTTAATATTTCCGGGGAGGGAGCTTGGAGCGAGCATTTGCTTTGCGATTAATTTGCCCTGCTCATGGCTCATTACTACGACTTAATATTTCTTTCCCTTTTGTGTTAAATCAAGGCTTCAAGGTTTGTCATCATTTGTACATGATTTGATAGTTTTGGCTGTACAGTGGACTCCTTTTGCTCATTTTTCTTTATGGGCTTGACGTGTTTCCAGCAATGATATTTAAGGGACTGGCATGGATTTATCAAAGGGCCTACCCCCGTTCATTGTACTATGTTCTCAATACGATGCTGTTAATGCTACTGGTATTCCACATCTTATTGGTGGGTTCTCGATATGCTCACATGATAATGAAACAGCTTAAGAAATTAGAGGGAAGAGTGGGGGAAGGATATAAGATCTGGTGGAGCCATCTGCTATTTTATTTGTATATTTTTACATTATTTCATGATAAGCCGTCTTTCTAACTTTTCCTAGGATAATCCTAAAGTTAATTTGGATTTTTCATTAATTGTTGCATACTGATACAATTCTTTAAGGAAATCCAATCCGTTTATTTACCAATGTTTTTAAGAAAATCTTTCAAAACCTGGCAGCTGAATAAATTGTCCACTCCCAAACTTGCACAACTGATAAGTTAGTTCATTAAACCTGACAAGAATAAGGGATCAATAAGAGAACTCAGGAATAAGACTGAGATTCATACTCGAAATCACGCTTCAACCAGCCATGGCCAATGGTTCAGCTGAACTCCCCTCGAACGAGGCGTCAATACGGTGTTTTTGAATGTCATGTATGTGGGGTGCTTAGATTGAGTTTGGAGAACATTGCATATGGCCATGTAAAAAAATAGAAGGGACTTGTGTCCTTGCACGTGTGAGAAGTAAAAAACTGATATCATAATATGATGTGATCCAGATAAGGCCATATAATGATATCCTTGCTGAACTATCTGATCATTAATAAATAAAGGGTTATATGGGTCACGGCAACTCCGCGATATCCTTTTGATGTGTTAGGAGTTCCGATTTAAAATTAACCTCAAAACTTAGTGGTCAAACCTATTATGGCCCAGCGGTTAATGCTAGTGTGTTTAAAGGCACCACCCTGTAGTGGCTAACTCTGTAAGTATAGCACAATGATTCGAACTATTCAACCTTTAAAAACCAAAATTCTACTATGTATTAATCTACTTGAACAAGTTTCTTATCCCAAGATTATTTAGATTTATATCAAAAAAGTTAAAAAGCTCCACCATGAATACAATATGTTGATTTCTAGGCCACATAGATAACTCAAATAACACATAATATATAACCAGGGCCTATTTGAGCAATAAAATATAATCACATGGTGGACTTACTGGTCACCTGCAAGCTTAATTACGTAATATTTAATTTATAGCGTAGTACTAACAATAAGTCCAATATTACATTACACCAACCCATAACTGCGGAGTTTCAATAAACAAGCCGATAATAGAATTAATTTTATACATCCAAATAAATAACAAAAATAAAAAGTTTACATTTATAACTCTGCGGAGAAGATTGCAGAGGCTTCCGTGGATCAGCAACTCTACTACCTGAGAAGTTTGAGAGAAAGGGGGTGAGTTTGCAACCAGTGAATAATAATAAAATAATACACACCACATACAGTCACGCGAAATGCGCCCTAATGTACTGAAATGAACACCACAAACAGTTCAATCATATGGCATAACATCAACACCACCAAAACAATGTACCTTCAAATTAATCAACATCACGTGGAAATTAGGTCAGCTGGAGGTTCACCGAACCCCCCGATGAGCCCCTCCCACATAGGCTCATCCTCTCAATGTGCACCAGGAAGCCGATCCCCAACTGGGCCGGACCGGGTCTAATCCTTCCACTTTGACCAGTCCTCTCAGTCATACCTCTCTCTCAACCAACAGGAGGCAACCCGGGTCTCCATCCAATCTAGCGATCAAACGCTCACAACAGGGAGCCACCCTGTTGGCGGAAAAGATGGCCCTAGGCGATCCAAAAAATAATTCCATTCACTGTAATATGCATTTTCCCGATAAATTGTCGGCAACGACGAGTAGTAGATCGAAAAACCATAAGGTATGAATATTCCCGGTGCTTTTTCAACAGGTTTGTGATTTTACGAAGTAAAAATTATTCGGATTAAATCCAGGTACAAGTTTAGTAGTTGAAGGGTTTTTAATGGGCCAACTTAAATTGGAGTGTGCTACTAGACTCTTTGTACAAAGCTTTAGGTATCAATTTATGCGATTGTTGCATTGAAATCCTAGAGGTAGTATCGGTATATATTTGAGATGAGCCACATGCTGGGTGGTCGCCATTTGATATAACGTATGACAGTTTTTTTTTTTTTTTCTTAATATTTATTCACCACCAAATAAAGGCGGCGATCTCACGAAGGTTCATTAACTCCAATTATCAATTATCACACTGTCGACTTAACTTCGGAGTAATCATAATCGAGCCATCCAAAAAACAGCTCAGTTGATAACGAGATATAGCGCAAAAAAAGATGATGTAAAGGTACTAAATGTCCAGAAGAAAAGTACCAAACAAATTTCGATAACTCCTTACATTTATTGTCACACTATATGTATCACACATAATGGAGCAACAGTAAGGTTATATGGCACAAGTCTTACCGAGATTATATTTATTTAATCAAATAGAGACTCCCAATATATTCCTTATCAACTGGACTTAATGATACTATCCTTGATAATCGCATCTTACTGCAAAGTATGATACAATATGTTGTCTGCTCTCATATTAAGATTATCAAAGCAATTTATGAGGTTATATATATAAAATAATATCAAACCCAATCGAGAATATTTTGTATTCATGCAATAAAGGGATAACCTGGTATTAATCTTTAAATTGGCACCTCCAGGCATTATACATGCGGGTGATACCTGGTTGATCTGCCCTGCTAAATATATGTTATGTATTTTATGATCTTACCATCATTCAACACAAGGTGAAAGCCAGTGTGTGAAATCAGAGATGTGCATTGGAGTCGTGGGGTGAAGAGATGAATCATAAGGACTCTCCAAGTAACTGTCTGTGGTGGGAGAGGGAAAAAGACACACTCTTAAGAAAATGGATCCATCTTTTGGTCGCTTTTCAGCTCGGTCTCATTCTTATTAGGTCTCATAGGGTAAAGGAAGCATCTATTAAATACGCATAATCATTTTCTATTTATCTCATTAGTGCACAGTATACATTATTAAGCTTCATACAACCCTACTTGCCTATTTTATACCAACGTCTTATAAGGAATCTCCATCAATATAATATTCCAACAAATCTCTTATCTACCCCAACCTCACACTTCCCTACCTCCTGCTATATTTGGTTCTCATGTTCTACTCTCGGGGATGTTATTGTATTCTATATTTCCCTGTTTTCGGTCAACTCATGGTAAGGAGTTTTGCACTTTTCAAATTGGTCAAGTCCATGGAGTCTACGGTTAGGCATTGCTTTCGCTCGCTATAAAGAAAATTAGGGAACTCTTGTCCGAAAACACCTACTGAATTGTCCTAAAAGTCTTGAACAATACTTACATAAGTAGTGCGTAAAATTATAATTCAAAAAACTTCATATTTACTACGTTCATCCCTGCTACCCGCGCATATATTAGTTTTTAATAATCTACTTTGAGAGACAAACACAAAGCCTCTTATCTCCTTCTTAAACACACAATTCATTTACAATCCACAACCACACTTCTCATCGCGACCGTTTTGTGACCTTGGAAACAAAATTAAATTTACATAACCACAAGATTGATATACTCATATCTTACATACAAAATTAAATGTATATCAAATTAACTTACCTTACAACGTAAATACTACCTTATTAATACCAACCATCTTTCTTTAATCTCCTATCTCATAACTCCTAATTCCTCTGCAAAAGATTGATCGAAGGTTGCCTTAATTTGAATCGGAACACTAATATTAGTTAACTACTCACGGAATTAGCTAAATTAGAAATTGAAGCTAGAGATTAAATAACTGAGCGAAGTAATAGAGAATGTAATCTACTTACAATAAGGAACGATTAATTCAAGTAACGTAAAATTATTAAAATTAACTTTACCCCAAAATATAATTTATTGTCGATTTTACTGTAGAGTGGATGTTACGGCGGTGTCGGATCGAAGGCAGTAACTGCCTGTGGCGAGTCCAGACTAAGCAGGTGGCGAGGAGAGGGCGGAGGAGAGCGGCTGGCAGTGAGGCTGTGAAGGCTGGGGTTGTGCTGCTGCTTGTAGGCGCGACAGACGCTGAGAGAGGGCCTGACTGCGTGAGTCTGGGTGCGGCTGGGCGTTGAGTGAGACGAGGCGGGGACAAACGAGCAGGACTGGCGTCCGGTGGACGAGCGAGGCGGAGTGGGAGCAACGAGGCGGGGGGGTGGGATGGGGGGCGGGCTCAACTGGAGCTGCGGTGGAGCCTGTCTGGAGCAGTGATGGCGGAAAGTGCGGAGGTGCAAGGAGAGGAGAGAGAAGGAGGAAGAGGAAAGGAAAGAAAGGGAAAAAGAGGAAAGAAAGAAGGAAGAAGAAGAGAAGATGGTGGAGGATGTATCGCCGGTGTCGGAAGCGCTGAGGAAGGTGGGGAGGAGGGGAGGTGAGGTTCGGCTAAGAGAGATAGGAGGAAAAAAAAGTTCAGGATGGTGGGTCGGAAGGACGGTTGCGATGTGCGGCCAAAATCTGTCGGATTTTTATTTGGTGTTTACGGTTTTTCAATGCGTGTGTTTCGGTCGGTCTGCTCATGGGAGGTGCTCCGCACGTGAAAATGATAATATGAATTCCAGGGCTGTCAAGATCGAATAAGATTAATAGAAAAGGTGTTTGAAAATAAGAAATTGCGGGTTTGTTCAGGTCTTGCCGGGCGCGCCTTAAAGAGGAAATTCGTCCGTCGGGAATTTGGTGTGGAAGACAAGCAGGGTAGAGATCAGCGGAGTGATATAAGTGAGGGACAAGAGAGAGGATTCGGTGACTGCAACAAGAAGAGAAATCCATTTAGACGAGTCGATCACTGTTAGGGCTACAGAACGTTTTACATGGGAGAGGAGAAAAGATGAGGAGTAGATTTGCTTTGGCAGTATCAGCTGCGCACTTCCCAGGTGCATTCCGTGCCGATCGAGATGGAGTGGTCTCCATGAAGGAGCTGACCAGATAAGGAATCTCCTAGAAGTCGAGAGTGTGTACGAGGTCTGGGAAATCGGAGGATGCTAAGTGCGGTATTTTGCAGTGATGTCAGAATGCTCACCCACCTAGATCTCTGTGCGAGCGTCTAAGCAACAGGTGAGACGGGATCAGGAAGTGTTGACTGTCCGTAGCGATGGAGCAGCGTGAGGAACACTGGGTGTACCATGGAGGAAAACTCGTTATGATGATGCCGACTGATAAGCTAGCTTCTGCCAGATGTCGGATGCCAAGATAGAACGGGTCCAATGTATCTTGGAAAGGCTGAGTTCCGCTCTTGCCAAGGATACGTAGGACACCTGTCAGTAGGAAATACCGTTCAGGGAGAGACTAAATCAGCGGCCTCGGTTGAGGAATGTCAGTTCTGCTATGCTTAGATCCGCGGTAAGCTTCTGCTGCGAGTCAGAACGCCGGTTTGAAGTCCTGTTTGCCGGAGATGGATAGGGACCGTTTTCAGAGTATTGTGAGATCAGACGTCGGGTCGCCACCAATGTCTTCCTACTTCTTGTCCCCAACAGATGAGGAGATCTGCCACTTCGCTGCCATGACAAGGCTCAGTAGAGTGAAGGCCATGGCCGGATGAGCCTTGCTGTGGGAACGTGTATTATAGGCAAACTCGATTGAATGGTGAGAGTGGCAGTGTCCCAAAGAGTTGCCCAAAATTCTAAGTACGACATGCCTGGCATCATCTGGTCCAGAGGGTTGAATAGGGTCCTGCGTCAGAGGTTTGCCCGTCAGTCGTGGCGGGATGGAGAAGGCATTTGACTAAATTCAAGCCGGGGTTCGCAAGGCTGGTCTGTGCAACGACTGCCGGCAGGAATCTCGAAGTGAAACTGCTTGCCGGGCGGTAGGAGATGATAGGAGTGTGACCGGGAGCGCGCCGGATGAAGGGCGCGACGATCTCTTTGAACGTGGGACAAACGGCTTGGCGCGAGAGCGCGTTCGAGCCACGGTATGAAGAGGATCTCACTGTAAGAAGATGAGGCGTGTCGTTGGTAAGTCGGAAGTGCCGACTATTCACCAGAAGTGTGAGTGATATAGCCTGCCTGGCGGCTTGGTGAGTGCCGAGCGCACAGAAGGTGTCGCAGTTGAATCCTGTTGTCCCAAGTTCCATTCTGTGGGTAGGCGGGGGTGAACTGGTTGCAGTTAATGCAGGAGAGGTCTTGGATGCTCTGCTTTAGCTTGCGTGAACAAGCGAGAACATCTAGACACCAAGTGGCTGGCTACGATCCTTCTTTGCGATGTCCGAGGTCCACCAATTAATTCGTCTTCAAAATCTCGGATGACATTGTTAGTAGTACCCGGATCACGATGGGTGATGAGGCGAGCTCATAGGTGGGGCTTTATCTAAGGATCGCCGTTGTCAAAGGATTATCAACATCAGGGTACACAAACGACGAGTACCCGTTCCTGGAGAGTAGGCGCACCATGGCGATTGTTTAGTCAAAGAGAGGTCTCCTACCCGACCGAGTAATTACCTCGTTGCACAATTCTGTGCGATGTTGGGCGGGGTCTCTGTTTCTTGGGCGAGCTTTAGATTTCTGTGTGCAGAACAGCACGCGTGCTTGATTTCTGAAATGAGGGCCAAACGGAAACAATTGAAGGCGAGGGGTAAATCCAAGTCAAGGCGGTGTCATCGAAGGCGATGCCATGTCGATAGTCCTGCGAAAACGGCGCTTCAACGCGAAATGGAGCTAAGCTCCCAAGAGATCGACTTGAAGCGTGCGGCAGCGTATATCATTGGTTCTTGCTTTCTCGCAAATCTCCATCCACCTACTTGGAATGAAGAGAGTAAAGATTCTTCTAAGAGAATTAGGGAGGAGCTCAATAGCAAAAGTGTGACATAGAAATTCTTACTTGGTACAAATTTATAAATCTCATCACTGGCGGCTTTAGAGGATCGTACTTTTGGTATCTCAAAAAATCATAATGACTCTGATGCTTATATATTCTACACAAAGCATGAAGGCACATAGATTAGAACTGTGAGAGGCTCTTTATTGACTAATTCTAATCTTTGCAGGTCTCTGATGAGTGTAAGTATCTCTCTTCTAAACTAGTATTTCGAAATCTCTATGCTAAAGCGTGTTAAGCAAAGATCATAAAAATGCATTTCGTACGATTAAAAGAATTAATCCTCTCACCAAATATCTTGCTATTCCAAACTACCTTCCTGATTCTTACTCCTCTGGGGCCCATTTTCCAAATTCATGGGGGATATTGGCTAGTCAGCTCTCAATCTGTCTGAAGGCATTATGCAATAACTTGTGAGAACGGCATGAACCTATTTAGTGTGTCGAGAATGTTGTTCCTCTATTCGAGGCAACACATCCCAGACCCCCTATCACATCGTACAACTTTGGGTGCATACGGGGGCCTATCACATAAACATACCATAGCATATCGTCTCGGCTTCGATTTGCAATTCGCTGATGTTTACTCGCAATCTTGGTAAGGTCCTTCTATAGACCCGAGGTAGAGTTCTTTCGGAGAATTTGATGGATTTTCTCGAGGTTCATGTAGGACTAGTCTCCCGGTCTCGACTGAAATTAATTTCCTCGGCCTCACATAGAAATACGCGAGATCCCACACCATCAAAATTAATCTTACGACATCATACTATCTGAGGACAATGGTCTCATACTAAGTTCTCAGAATCCGATAATATATACTGGTAGAAAAAAGTTGCTACTCACGCGCGCCAACCAAAGAAGACTCGCAAGGGGCGAAAGATAAGTTAGGTTTTCCACAAGGCCTAGAGAACTCTCACGAATTTTTCCAGCATCAGTGGCGCGGCAGAGAGTCTATTCATCCGCTGAATACCTAATCTGCTTATTGTCTTCTCAGCGTGTTGCTTCAATGTGTTGCAAAGAGTCAACAAACTGTTACGTCGGGCGAATCGAGGACCACGCACTACTCATGCTATCCCTTAGCGATAAGTCAATGGCCGATTCAAGGTTGAATTTCTCATGACAAACTTCAAGAAGGGTGAATTTAACACGATCATATACCTCCAGAGACACATAGGGATAGATCGATACAAGGCATCCCATCCAGTGAAATTATACATATTCTGTATGTAGTATATATTAACTTTTGTAGCTCAAGGAATAGGTCATGGTACAATTAAATATTAATGTATATGTCTTACGCCTTATCAAATATTCTTAGAGATTTTAAGTTATTTTTTCCACGAGGAACAAGATTAGCCATATACATAACCACAAGTCAAACTAATTTGGCTTCTCTGAAGAAAGGAAGATCATTTGTTTGGTTTTCTTTTTTTTTTTTTTTTTTTGCTGCTATTGTTGTGGTGTTTTAATGCTACTATGTTAGTTCTTCTCAATAAGATTACGAGGCTGAAAGTATTGAATCTATTCTATCCTACGGCAGTTGGAATGGGAAATATTAATCTATTCCTTGTGTTTTTTATTTTCATTCTTATTTGTATTTACAAGCACTGGTACAGTACACGCGCAAAAGCTCGCGGCTCCTCTAAGGTGATTCACTGCAGCTCGCATACCAGTGGGACACAAGTTTGGATAAATATCAATCTCATGATAGGCCAGTAATAAGACTGTTATGTCGGTTCGGCATGTTTGATTTTTTCTCATGTTTTTTTTTTTTTTTTTTTTTTTTTTTTTTTTTTTAAGAATGTCAGTAGGCAATGCCTTTTTGATCCAGTCGCTCCTAAATTTATAATATAATCCAGGGGATAATTATTTCTTCGCATGTTTGATTTTTTCATCATGTTGATTTGCATTATTATTGTTTTAGACATGGATCTATTTACTTGTCTTAATACGATGCAGATTCAGATGATGATGAATAGATGGAAGATGTCGTTACACATTTCTGGATCAATGTTGGTTCCCAGGAGATTAATTCGACTTGTTTGTAGGTTTGTATTTTTCATTTGATCGATTATTATCAATCAAGTGAATATTCTCTCTCTCTTATTTTTATAGTTGATCATTTTTTGTTGGTGTAGAGGAAAGAAGGTAGGACCATCAAGCATATCTCTTTTTGGTTTCTTTTGGTGTACAAATAATAGGCAATCCTGTATAATTTAATTTTTCTCTCTGATAAACCTTTGTTTTGATATTAGCCCCATATATTGCAAAATGGAAAGTGGAAAAAAAAAAAAAAAAGAAAAGCTATTTTTTGAATTTTTAGTTTTCCCAGAGTGTTTTATTTGCTTGAATCTGTGAGCAATTGCATTGCATGCACAGCACATTATAGGTCTTTTTTTTGTATGTTCGGTCTTTTCAAGAATATACATCTTAGCGCCCAACGATTAAAGTTCGGCTCTATATTTTATTTTCAGCCTCCCTAATGCTCAAAGTCTGGTTCTGTACACATCTCTTTTATGGGTCTAAACATAACATTTTTTCAAGCTCATTTCTCACTCTAGCTAGTAATAAATTTGTGAAGCCTGTTTTGGTTTGATGACGGCCTATATCGAGTATGTTTGTTGAAGTCGTGTTTTAGAGCTCCATCACTCTCCATTCCATTCATTTTACACCATTGTATCTTCTTGTTACTGAGCTTTGTATAATTCTGCGTTTGTTGTTAATTAGCAATTTTTAGATTTCTGCATTTTAGTTATCATTTTGAATCATTTAACTATTGGATTTTGAAATCTCAATCCAATCAGTTAGTTTTCAATCTCTCATCCAAGCAGTCCCTAAGTTTATATTTCCTCCCTCGAGGAATGTGAGAAGTGGTATTGGTCTACGACTACAAATATGTAATGTTTATCATCACTAATTGGTGTAATTGATAAAAGTGAATGGAAACATTAAATCTATTAATCTTATATTTATTGAAATAGCAAAGTAATATTAGGAAATCTAGGTCATATATATATAGAAAACATTAAATCTATTAATCTAAATATTATTGAAATAGCAAAGTAATATTAGGCAAATCTAGTCATATATATATATATATATATATAGTATATATAAATATATATACTTTCAAAAATATATATATTCAAAAATATTTTTGTAACTTGTGAATGTGCAGTACACAATTTCTTTTAGATGAATTGGATTGCATATGAAGTATAGTTTAGTAATAAGTACATATATGATCTGATAATGGTTTCGGGTTTAGATCTCTCCCTCCAAATATTAAGAAAAGAAAAGAGTCAATTATTCCTTAAAATTTAGTGTAATTAACAAGTTTATCCTTTGATTTGGAAAATATATTAAAATGTTGGCAAAACACATACATTTAAACCCCGAATTTATTAAGTTTTACTCGTTAAACTCCTGAAGTTTTATTTATTAACATTAAGTTCTTCAAGATCATTAAGTGATAATAAAGAGACTCTTAGCCTTCAAAAATAAAAAATAAAAAGACACTAATTGAAAGAAAAATCTGGTTAGTAGAGAAATATGAAAATTTGAAAGGATTGCTTATCTATTTCTCATGGAAAAAATAATTATTTCGTCCCTGAATTTTACCATAATTATTTAAGTAGTCCTTGACATTTATACAAATATTTATAACATATCTGAGGTTTACTTCCTTCTTATTAATTGGTCCTTCCGTCTAAAAAATACACTTTTTCTCTTAATTTTGAGAGGAAAAGACGAAATTATCTTTTATAAGTTTTCATTATTTCGTCCCTGAGATTTGTCATAAGTATTTAAGTAATCCCTCACATTTATATAAATATTTATAACATCTCAGAGGTTCACTTCCGTCATATTATTTGATCATTCCGTCCAAAAGATACATTTTTTCTGTTAATTTTTAATAGAATAACCAAACTACCCTAAATCTTTTAATTAACACATCTTCATTTTCAACTCATTTGCTTTTCTTCTCACTTGCTCACAAAAATGGTATAAACAAATTCCATAGAGCTTAAAGCAGAATGAACAACATCTACATGAGCATCAAACATGTTCATGTACTTAATCTTTATATTTGCATCAAATGAATTACTTTGCTCAATAACCTCAGCAATTAATTCTAAAAACAGCAATCATACACAAAATCTGCCAAAAAGAAGATCAATATAGCTCAATAACCTCAGCAATTAATTCTTAAAAACAGCAATGCATATCACAAAATCCTGCCAAAAAGAAGAAATCAATATAGGCAGAAAGAAAAAATTACTTTGCTCAATAACCTCAGCAATTAATTCTAAAAACAGCAATCATACACAAAATCTGCCAAAAAGAAGATCAATATAGCAAAGAAAAAATTTACACAGCACATTTAGCTTACTCTTGTTCACTTGAAACTCGACACTACCATTAACAAATGGCCATGTAAATTTTAAATCATAAATTGTAAACTAAATTTAAAATAATCACCCAGTTTGATTTAAAGAAATTTAGAAATTTACTCAAAATTTAAATTAAAATTTCTAAATTTTGGGGAAATTTAGAGGATTTAGGGTAGTTGAAGGGAGGATATGTTGATTAGAGGATTTAGGGTAGTTTAGTCATTCTATTAAAAATTAAGAGAAAAATATGTGTTTTTTGGACGGAATGATCAAATAATATGACGGAAGTGAACCTCAGGGATATTATAAATATTTATATAAATGTTAGAGACTACTTAAATAATTATGGCAAATCTCAGGGACGAAATAATGAAAACTTATAAAGGATAATTTCATCTTTCCTCTCAAAAATTAACGGAAAAAGTGTGTTTTTTGGACGGAAGGACACGAAAGTAAACCTCAGAGATATTATAAATATTTATATAAATGTCGGGGACTACTTAAATAATTATGGCAAACCTCAGGGATGAAATAATTATTTTCCCTTTCTCACGAGAACATCTTCTTCTTCTGTCTGGGGTGGGTGTTGAGGGGTTGTTAAGGGAGTGGAAGGTGGTGGAGAGGCCAATACATTATACATATATCAGACACAATTTAGTGGGTAGATTACGTATGATCAAGACCCTTTCATATTCTTCAAAGTCTACCATTACATGTGATAAATCTGTTCTCTTACTTTTATATGTTCAAATAGAATAATTTGATTTTGTTACAATCTTATTTTATTTTATTATGGTTTAGAATATTTTCCATGTAAAATAGTAATATAAGCAACTTACATTTCTATTATTACTGATGGCTTGGCTGTTAATAGCTGATGGCTGGTCTCTTATAAAATTTTTTTTGGGGGTAAAACAACCATACAGATATTAAAAATTCTATATTAATACAGAAATTATTTTTACCATTAGATTTAAAATAGTTAAATATAAGCTATTACATTCAAAATGGCTATAATAATTTATTACCTATATAATATGTTATCAAAATAAAATATTTCTTTTTTATTATTAAATATAAATGTTACTATTTAATTGTGTAAATAAAAAATTACTCTTTTCAAAATAATTATAAAAATTAAAAGTTTTAAAAATAAAATAATTATGTAATACATCAAATTTTATTTACCAAAATAAATTTTTAAAATTTTAATAAATAATTATAAATTTTATTTATTTTATTGTTAAAACATGTATAATGTATTTATGCAATTGAAATTATATTATTATTTATTTTATTGTTTAACATGTATAATGTATTTATGGCAATTGAAATTATATATATACTACATGAAAGTCCAATTAATTTCAAATCTTCATAAAAACAAAGTAATTTTTAATTAATAAACATTAAAATTATATAAATTATATTATATATACATGAAATCCCATTATCTTCTTCATAAAACAGTTTTTAATTAATAAAATTAAATTATATAACTTAAATATTTGACTTCTAAAATCTCTCACTTTAATAAAATCTAATTATATAAATTGAACCATATAAATAATTTCTTCTGACTTCTAATTAATTATAGTTTTTACATTAAATTTATTTATATATATTTTTTAAATAATAGATATTATATAATCATATTAGAATTAACACAAAATTTTAAATTTGTGAAAATTTTTATAAGGTATTAGAATCATTTGTAATTTTTTATAAAAATAATTATCTAAAATTATCGTTTGTTATGCTTAAAAGTATTTTCTAAAATTCTATACTTTTATTAAGACCAATTTGTTAATAATTTATTTTTACGTAAAATAATACAATTAATATTTCATATAAAATTATTAATATGTAAGAATTTATTTTTATCTTCAAAGTAACGTTCTTCACATTTTATAGAAAAAATAACAAGGGAAAGTTATGAGAGAAAAAAAAAAAAATTCGATGAAAAAACATATAACTGAATTTAACCGATCTTGGTCACTTGCAATAGCAGGTTAATCACAAAAAGAGAGTTTTGTACGGGTGCAGAATTTTTGAATTTATGTTAAAGTGACTGTCTTCTAGAAGTCTGTATTCTTAATCATTACGAACTCTATTTTTTTTATTTGTATAGAACTCTATTATGGTTCCATTTATGTAAATATGCTTCTTATCAATAATAAACGTATCCTCGTATTTTCTTTCTATATTTGGCTCTCTATTTCTTGTCTTTCTTGTCTCTAATTTTATATTATTTTATAAAACGTTATCAACACGATTTGTTCTACCGCTTAATCAAACCGCTGTACCAAATTTAAAGTTCGTGCAATTGGAATTTTTTACTCAAGAAATATTAGTTTATATTATTTTGTCCAAAAAGGTGACAATCAGTAGTAATCATATACAAGGTATGTGTATAAGTGTATTACACCATGATGTTTATTATACACTAGCATATAAAAGTTGATATTTAATTATTTTTTATTATATATACATACTAGCATATAAAAAAGTTGATATTAATTATTTTTTATTATATAATATATATATATATTATTATATATATATATATATATAGTAATATATATAATATAATCAATGGTTATGATATATAATCAATGGTTATGATTGATAGATTGATAACAGCGCCGTATTGCGAGATTGATTCCATTTTTCATTGACTATCGTTTTTAATATTCAAATAAAAAAAAGGAAGATAAAAGGATATTGTTTTTACAGCAATCCTTAATCTATTATTCAAAACCTTTGTTTTTCATATAACCTTAAATATATTTTGTTGTTATTATATATTTATAACAAATATAGTGATATGTTTTTGTTCTATTATAAATATATAAGGTTGGATACTTTGATTTTATAATAAATATATAACGTTTTATCATATTTTCTTTTATTGCATTTATTTGAGAT